TATATATATATATATATATACACACACACACACACACGCACATATACTGTATACTCGTTTTTTATTTAAAATGTACACCGAGGCTAAAAAGACAATGCTTTTGGCAAACAACAACAACTTATAAACCAGGTAAGTTCCAGTTTCATAAACAAGCATTTAAGTCTTTCCTGTATTTGTGTCTAAAACCAACTTTATTTACAAAATGTGGGTAGAGTAATTCCCATCTCTACATAAAGATGTTGTTTAAAGAGCAACATAATGAAATCTGACTTACTTACTTTTTAACTGTTTTCCAACTAATTGTTGTTGTTTAGACTTTTATACCAACAACAAAAGTGAAAGCTCATTCGCAGTGAAATCACACACAAAAACCCCATCTCACCCTGTTGTTGTGATGCTGTCTGTAAAGTTTGCCCAGGCTACAAAGTCCTCCTGAAAGCCGTCGACGACAGACAGCTGTCCGCTCTGTTCGTCTAAAACAGCTGTTCGTATTTCTGCTCCAACAGACGAACACAACCCCAATAAACTTACACAAACACTTAAAACCTTTACAAAACCGCCCGGAGTACACAGCATATTTTGCCTGGACGCCATGTTTGAAACTAGTGCTGTCACGTGATTCTGCGAACGCTTTCTCATATGACCGAAACCGGAAATACACTTTCACTTCCAAATAAAAGTCCTCATTCCTGCCGTTAACTTAAAAAAAGAAAACGCAAAACTTTAATGTTGTGTTATGTACTTTTTAATAAAACATCAACAAAATATTTCTCTTTGAGAAATAATTTGGTGCAAAACAAAGCAACAATGAACATCTAAAACAGAATTTCCATTCCATCTCCTGCCAAACTCATCCTGAGTTATTGCTTCTTAATATATCTATGTTAGATACATTTGTTTGATACTAGTTAAACGAAATAACAGATAAACACGGATTGGAATTCCATTTGAAGATTTCAAAGGATGGAAGCAATAGAAGACTTCAGTCTTCAACTCCACCAGTTCCCATTTTCTCAAGAATTTCCCCCAAAACTTGAGCTTTCCGCTGCTTTTTGGCAACCACTAAGATTGAAGCAAAAGGAGGAAAATGATCAGTAAAGATTAGCTTTTATTTTAATCAGTTATACTCCATATTTTTGTAATAAATCACAAAGATTCACCATGAAAATGTTCGGCTGTTTTCCGTCTCAGTGTCTCCACTGTTTCCTCGGCGTCGGCCCACTCCAGCACAAGACGTCTGCCGTACAGATGGGTGCTGTGGCAGAGAGCTGCAAAAGCTTTCTACAGGAACACAAGAAAAAAGCCTTTAATAATTATTGCATGTCACAGCACAGTTTGCAACATGTTAAGTGTTTGATACTTTGAATTCTCTATCTGCAGATCTTGACTTATATTTCTTGATAAAACAAAAACAAATTATACACAAACCTTAGCATCCTGTTTGGTGAGAAAATCAACAAAGGCAAAGCCTCTATGGTTCCCTGAACCAGTTGCTTTCTTAGGTAGACGGACAGTCTTCAACTCCCCAAATGTGCTAAAAAGACAAGACAGTAATCAAAGCATTAAATACCTCAAAATCATCTCCAAATAGCATTTAGCAAACCATATATATAAACAATTTTATAGATGTGTGACTGCTACCAAAAGAGCTCTCGAATTTCCTTGACAGTGGCTTGGAAGGGAACATTGCGCACGAGAATCTTGGAACAAGTTTGCTTTTTCTCGGCTTGCTTCTTTTTGCGTGACACCTCTGTGGTTCTGCGCACAGAAAGAGACACATGAAACATTCTGATGCACAATTTTAATATTTTCTCTCCGTTTACCCAGTGAAGTCACAAATCACCTTGTGGCTCTGTCAGAAATCTTCACCTCTAACTGGTGATCATCCACAGTGCAGTGCTAGAGGAGTGAAAACAGCACGTTAGTCAGAATTTCTGTTTTAAAGAAAACGAGTTTCATTGAGGATGTGGTGCTGATGATACCTGCAGCTGCCTCAGGGCTTTCTGTGCAGACTCTGCTGTCTGATACTGAACAAAACCGTAACCCATTGACAACAATTTACCTGGAAAGCAAAACAACAATGCAGGAAAACACTGAAAAAAGTGCACAGAAAGAGACATAAACTGGACAAATTTCACATTTTAAGTGATTGAAATCTATACTCTAGCATCTATGAGCAACTGTTGCTAAACCGTGACAAGAATTTAAAATTTCACTGACAAAATGCATATTATTTCTCAAAGCACCTTAAATTTACATCTGCATGTCAAGAGAAAATGCATATACATGAGTGATTTTTAGTTTTTGATTTTCCAAGTTTTATAATACTGTTATAAGTAAATACTTATAGCAGTTGGTTCCTGACCTTTTTTTCTTAGGAACCTCTCAGCTACAAAAATCCAGCTCACAAAAAACAAGCTCCATAACTTTATTGACACCTCTCCCCAAAACCAGTCAAGACTATTTTGTTATTTAAAACTAACCCCACTAAAACCTTTCACATTTATGGCTTTGTATGAGATGTCAAGAGTTAAAATTTACGACATCCATTTATGAGCTTTTGTATTTATTTTTACTAAAAAGTGCTCACAGATGTTGTGGGTGTTTTGCTAGGTAAAATGAAACAGCATGTACTTTGACAATACAAAGACTTTTTTAATGCATTCTCCAAAAAACCTTTTTGTTACTGAATCAGCTTAAAAGCCTAGATATGCCAGATTCATGGGAAAAACATTTTTGCACAGCGCTGATGTTTGAATTTGTACCATGCATTCACTTGTTTCAAATTACTTGGAAAAAACAAAACATATTTCTAGACAAAGCTCTTTAAAAAAAAATCCACAATTTCATAAAACACACCTGCAGCTGTTTACAGTAACCCCTCGCTACTTTGCAGTTCAACTTTTGCGGACTCGTTCTTTCGCAGTTTTTCAAAGTAAGAGTGTACACACAAAAAAAAAATGCACACAACACGATTGTCAACTTTGATATTGCTCACGTGATTGGGACAGTACGGGATACTGTACAGTAAAACGTTAACAAAAAAAACTTCAGACAGGTGCCGCCATTTTGTAGTTTTCTCTCCTAAACTGTATCTCCACTCAACGCGACTACATTTCCCAGAAGCCAACAGTGCCCTGTCCTTTCTTAGGATCATTGATACACCACGAGGTGAGATCTTGCATGGAGCCCCAGTCCGAGGGAGATTGACAGTCATGTTTAGCTTCTTTCATTTTCTAATAATTGATCCAACAGTTTATCTTTTTTCAACAAGCTGCTTGGCAATTGCCCCGTAGCCCTTTCCAGCCTTGTGGAGGTCTACAATTTTATCTCTGGTGTCTTTGGACAGCTCTTTGGTCTTAGCCATGTTAGTAGTTGGAGTCTTACGGATTGTGTGGGGTGGACAGGTGTCTTTATGCAGCTAACGACCTAAAACAAATGCTTCTAATTTAGAATAATAAGTGGAGTGGAGGTGGACTTTTTAGAGGCGGATTAACAGGTCTTTGAGGGCCAGAATTGTTGCTGATTGGCAGGTGTTCAAATACTTATTTGCAGCAGTAACACACAAATAAATTATTAAAAAATCATACATTGTGATTTCCTGATTTTTTATTTATTTAGATTATGTCTCTCACAGTGGACATGCACCTAAGATGAAAATTTCAGACCCCTCCATGACTTCTAAGTGGGAGAACTTGCAAAGTCACAGGGTGTTCAAATACTTATTTTCATCACTGTACTTAGTCCATTTTCAAATGATTGACTGCAGTTTGAATATGACGTACCTGATTTATCTTTTTTCTTTGAGATGCTGCAGGACTTGACATTGCCACATTTGGAGAACGCCTGCAATAAAGAAGAAAACATGATAAAAATCTTCATCTGTACTAACTGAGACTACATGTAAGAGTTGAGACGTGAATTGACCTACCTCCTGTAGTTGCTCTTCTGTTGTGCTGAAATTGAGATTCTTAATGAAAAGTGTAGAACCTGGAACAGTTTCTTCCTCTTCCTCCTCCTCTTCCTCCTCCTTTGTTTCTTCTTTCATTGCCTCCTCTTTGTCTAACGAGTAATGGGACAGATCCAATATGTATTCTCATTAGTATTATTGTTCCTAAAACACACACACAAAAAAACCCTAAACGACTGTCTAACTCTTGTTAGCTTCACCTGGCTTTGGTTTGGCTGCTACAAACACACCAACAGGCGCCCACTCCAAATACAGCGGGACATGATGGAACTAGAGTTTGAGAAAACAGTAAGACAGAGAAATCCTTATTACCAGTAGTCTTCCAGTTGTCACCAATTAGACATGGTTATGCAGCTACACACACCTTGCTGTAAGCCAGCCTCGTAAAAGCTTTTTTGGCTTCTGTTGGCTCCAAAAACTCAATGATGGCGGTGAGTCCTGAAGGCGGCAGCAGCACTCGGCCTAAAGAGCCGTGAGGCGAGAAGAGTTCTTCAAGCTCCGACGCTGTCACTCCAGCTGGGAGGTTTTTGACCAGGATCACAGTTGTACTCCTCGCTGCTGCTGCCTGGTGAAAAACGACATAGTCTTAACTCATATATTGAGATAAATGGAGCCAATACAAAAGTACGCCGAACTACCTGACTAAAGGAATCCAAAGAGACACTGTTGTCCAGCAGGAACTGACGCGTCTCCTGGACAATCTGAGTTTCTCCCAGAGCCATCCTGACTGCAACACTTCCCTTCGACTCCTGTGGAGGAGTAAGGACACTCAGTGCATGTAAATGTAAAGTAACTCACAAAGTGCAGCAGCGCCTCCAGATGTAAAAATCACTCACGTGGTCCAGAACTTGGCTTTTGGTCGTGTTGTATTTCTCAGCAATGGCATCTGCCACCGCACTCGTACCCAAAAACAAAGTGTTCCAGTTGTGTGAGCTCAAAAGAAGGAGAAAATCAACATGTGATTTAAACCAGCAACAGCTCACAAATAAAAGTACCAAACAGAACTATAATCACATTATATATATATATATATACCTAGAACTAGAAGATTTGTTTTTAGCATCTTTTTGTCGTTTGTATGATGAGGAGCCAGGATCACCAGCATCTGAGGATTCAGACTTTTCCTTCTTCAAGGTGGAGGGAAGAATATGAAGCATTCTACCCTGAAATCACACACACAAAACATGCATCCTTTTAGCTTGAGCAGTAATAATAATAAAAAAACAGGGTCTTTTAATGTGACAAAGGGATGCAGAGAATAAATACCTGAAATACATGACCATCTAACTCAACAAGAGCTTTCACTGCATTTTCTGGTATCATGTAGGCAACAAAAGCAAATCCTTTAGGTTTCTTTGTCAGATTGTCGATAGGAAACAGCACCTCAGAGACAGGACCTGTGAAGTTTGGAGAGAAGATGAAAGCAAATTAATTTTTCTCAGGTATGAAAAGTTCAGTACATTTTTTTGCTTATAGTTTATGTTTTTCTCCTTCACCATGTTTAGTAAAAAGCTCTCTGAGCTCTTCCTCCGTGCAGGTGTAAGGAAGGTTTCTGACAAAGAGTCGACCAGACTCGGAAACGTCTTCCTCCTCCTCATCCTCCTTCAGCTTCCTGGTGAAGTTTCTGTCAATTTCTTTGTCATTCTTGTCCCTCTTGCCCTTGAACCCCGAAGAATCAACACAAAAAACCTCAATGTAACGTCCCCCTGAAACACAAGCAGAAACTTTCAAATCAACACAACGATACACAATGGTGGTGAGAGACACAAAATCAAAAATAGGAACTTAAACGTAAGAAAGTGTAATAAAAAAAACCCTTTGCATTTAATCTCTTCTCATTATAAATAAATAAAGTCTGTAGATAACTGCTACCTGACTGATATTTCTGAATTACATCCTCCTGAAAAACAACAGGCAAACGCCAACTTTAGATTAATGTTTTATTCTTTGATATTTTTTAAATGTTTATAAAGAATATTATCATATTTATCCATCCAATACATTCCTCTATGATCGTGACCAGACCTCTTTAAATTAGCTTACTGAAATTGCTGCTACAACCAACAAGAAAAGCTGAAGCACACATTTTATCGGCTGCGTTACCATCTCTTACATTAACATTGAAAACAAACGTAGCACTATTTACTTCTTTTTTTCACATTTTATTTTTTTGTCATCGTTACTCACCTATATAGTCCTTGTTCTTCTTCAAGGCTTTTTGCATCTCTTCTTTAGAGTGCAGGTCCACATAAACATACCCTAAAACATACAGACTGTGCTCACTCATGGCTCTTTTTGTCACTTACACAGTCACAAACACAACATAAAGGTGACATCCTGCACAATCAAACATAAAATCTAAATAATAAAATACTTTCAACAACACACCTGTTCTGTTTCCACTTTCATTCTTTCCAATCCTGATTGCGGCAGGCCTCAGGGGGGTCATGAACTCTCGAATCTGTTGCTAATAATGGTTCACATGTTGAAATATACTGAATATTTTAAAAGAAGAATGTCCTCACAAATGAAATGAGACAAACTCACTTCTTTAATGTTGAATGGGACTCCTCTAAGCTTCACGGTGAACTCTGTTGTGGGCTCTGTCTGAAACCAACAAATAGAAATAATGAGATGTGCCACGTTAATGTTTAACCTGCAGATTTGTCTCAGTAGTCACCTCCTGTTTGATACTTTTCTTGACTTTGCCCAGTTTCTTCTCCGCAGAGGAAACTTTTGCCAATGAGACATTTTCGCTGCTCTCGTAGGCACTGTCTGCATGCTGAACTGGAGCATCCTCCTCCTCTTCATCACCTTCACTGTGTTCGTTGCTCTCTTCCACATCCTTCGTTTGTACCACCTTTGAGCGCAGGTAGTCCATATCTGACAAACTAGACTTCACAGCTTCTTGAGATGCCGCTAAAAAAGTAACAATAAGCATTTGCTTATATTCATTCAATTTACATTTTTAAGTTTGAAAATAATTTGTACAGTAAAGTGTTACTTTTAGTTTTGACACATTTCAGAATATTATTCCTAAACTGGAAAAAATGAGCAAAGAGCTATGCTAAACAATGAGTTTACATGAGCAAACACAAAAAGAGTCGTCCAACCTTCATCTTCTACGTCGCCCTCAGTATAATCCTCGTTCTCTGATTCGTCTGAGTCAAAGTTGAGATAATCATCAGAAGCCGGCTTATTCTTGCTTTTTGTCTTTCTGCTCTCAGAAACGGCCGTTTCCTGAGCCATGTCATTGGCCCAGGTTGAAACTTGGCTGCGATTCTGATGCACCGACAGAAACTCCTTGAACCCTTCTTCCTCCTCTAGCTGACAGAAAACGAGAACATAAATTTACACTTTTTATCGTTGACATGAATTAGGAGATAAATTAAGCTGTTAGGTTACTCACTTTTCCCAGACTGCTCTTGGATTTATCTTCCTGTTTCTTTTTCTGAATTTCAAAACAAAGACACACAAACATTTTTTTACACATTATTTAAACACGTTTTCACTACAACATGACAGTGAGTCGGTACACACTGATGTGTGTGTTCAGAGATCAGGCTTAGATTTCCTGCTCCTACCTTTTTGTTGTCAGTAACTTTTGGAGGAGCAGGAGGTTTGTACTGCTGTGTGTGTTTACTCCAGGCTTTCCCTTTAGTGGAGTCTCCAAATGCTTTACACATCTCCACCTGTACGAGAAAAACGCGAGTTAAGGGTGGACAAACCCAAAAACAAGCGAAGCTCCGAGAGCTCGTACCGCCACTCTGGATGTGTCCACGAAGCTCTTGTTGAAATGTTGCAGCGCCCTGCTCGCGTCTTCCTCGGACTTAAACCCAACAAAACCAAACTTTCGGAACTTGCCATCTTTGGTAAATTTCAGAGCGCAGTCTGTCAGGGTGCCAAAGGCAGCAAACATCGACTTGAACCTGTCCTCTGTCATCTAAATAGAAACATTTATATTTTCAGGCGCATATTGACACTAAATGTTAGTTTTTATTTTGACACCGTAGCGGGTTCGTACTCACCCCGTTGGGAAGGTTTTTAACGATGAGTCTTGACATAGTTCTGGCAGCTGTAAGTCCACAAACACACTTTAAATATGGGTATTGAAAATATTGTCAACAAACAAGCGTGGACAACTCAACTAAGGCGCCATGTTGAGATTCGCAGCGTTTTCTCTCTTCTTCTTTGACTGCGAGTTACACGTAAGTTAGCATCATCGCCCCCTCTGGTCATACCCGTGCACTACACCACACGCTTTAATTCATGTAGTGACTACAGAACAGTGCAAACAAATGTAAAAAAAAAAACAAAAAAAACCCGAATATTAATATTAATGATAATAATTATTTGGACTTTGTCTGCTTTTTCAATTATTCTCCGTACAGCATGTGTTTAAAATAGCGAGTAAATAAGGGAACAGGTTTGGTTTTAGCCTTATAAAATGAGGCACTGATAAACAGCAAAAAGACTAATTGAGTTGTCTGCTTCCTTATACTTGCATGCCTTTATAAATATTTTACAAAAATAAATTCCTTCACAGAAGAACAAACAAATGTAAAATAAATAAATAAATAAAAGTATGCAGACAAGGGCTGAGCCCATATTCTAATTGAAGTTATATCAGGTTTTGTTCAAACAACATCCCAAAATCTGAGTTGGTTTGTAAACTCACTCAACCCTATTAAAGCTAAAACTCTTCCATCTTGTTTCTCCTTAGTAATGCATGACCAACACTTGAGTGAATGCTTTGTTCAGCAGATCACATGCACGCTAGAGGATTAGAAAAACTAAATATCGAGCAGCGTGAAAAGTTCACAAAAGGTACAGAATGTTTTTTCATGAGCTGTTCTTTATTAGATCTAAATAAAGCACCTTTCTAAAGGCTGTACAAACCATATTTTGACACAACATGGATACAAATGGTTCACATTTGTAGTGAACCCAAAAACCTAAATTACCTTAAATAATAACTGAAGATGTACAACATATTACTTTATGCTATAATCTTGCTGAGGTGCTGTGCTTTGTGTGAACTGTAAATAATTTTTGCTCATCTTTTTGACAGAGAAATAAAAATTATTCAGCTCCACACTCGAGTCCAGTGCGTTTCAAAAACTTGATGATATTAAGAGTGTTTCTGCTTCGTCAGTGCCGGCAGCCTTTTTCTTGGAGGACAACTGGAACTCATGTTGGATTTCCACAAAGCTTTTGTTCTTGGTTTCAGGAACAGCCATCAAGATGTACACGGCCACCGAGGAGCAAACGACAAAGAAGACCAGAAAACAGTAGTGCTGCAGCCCGATCTGTGAAAACAAAATACAAATGAGCGTGACCCCCTCAAACAAGCCAGAAGTCTTTTTCATCTGGTTTGAAGAAACAGATACAGATGAACAGAAATAAAATAATAAAAAACATATTCAAACAGGAGACAACCTTCTTTAAATCAGACTATTTATTCAAAATATAAATTGAAAAAGTTAGCATGATCTAAATAAATTTAATTTTTCTACCAAATATTTTAAATCTACTATTTTTTGTAAACAAATGACTGAAAGTGCTCATTTTGTGTGGTTGATGCTTTTCGACAGTTTTATTTGAATGAACTTTGTTTGTTTTCTTGAACATTTGAACTAAAAATAGACAACAATGTTCTCAGTCATTTCAACTCAGCTAAACAGTGAGAAAACCTTTAACATAAAGAAGCGAGTAGAAGAGTTTTAGAACATACGACGATGAAAGGGAAGACCAAGCCGATGAAGAAGAAGCTGAGCCAGTTGACTGATCCAGCGATCATGAACGCAGCGGGGCGAGAGGTCTGAGTGAAGAGCTCCGTGGTTAAGATGTTGGTCACACCACCTTCACAGATAAAGAAACAACAGCTGGAGGTAGTTGGTGGGGATGAATTACTTTAAGAGGTTCATGTTGCTCCTTCAGTCACTCACCTGGTCCCAAACCAAAGCTCAAGACAAAAGCAAAAACACAGGAAACACTCAGGTAGGGAAAAACTGGGCTGACATCCTGAAAGATAAGAAATCACCTGAACTTAATACTAAAGGGACAGTTTGGATTTTCTTGGAGTGGGATTCTATAGAAATGTTATGAACAATAAGTATATTACCTGTTGTAGATAGTTCTTTAAATGACCTCAGTTTGCCAAAAATATTGATTCATTATCATCTGCCACCAACGGTGTGTGTGTGGTGGTGGTGGTGGTGGTGGGTGGGTGGGTGGGGGGGTAGATTTGTTGTTTCAGCAAAATATCTCATGAACCTCTGGGTGGATTGTAATGAAACCCTCACAAAGTAATCACTGTCTGTCCGAGGAGCTTAGTTTAAAATTCAGCAGGAGAAATACATTTCTTTGAGGAATGTTGGGCCCTCAATTAAAAGGAGCGATATGCATTAGTAGACATTGAAATGAGTCAAACATAATGTATCCGAACACAAATTAGCTAAAACATATATTTTCATCAGACGAAGCTTTGCCTGTTATAGTTAAACAACAGTCAAAAATTCAACTAATGAACCGGAATATAAATAAACCCAGCAAAAAACTTAAATCAAAAAGAAAACTGTAGACACTTTTTGATGGAAACAGCGTTTACTTTGGCCCAATTTGCTTAACTAATATTTTGTGACAAAATTAAACTTTAATCAGATGGCAATTTTATATTATGTTGACAGAAATATTATGATTTTCCTGATGAAAGCGCAAAAGGTAAACCAAAAACTATACAGTAATCTGCTTCTGTTGCTAATTGTGCTGGCAATTTTTTAAATTCTATGTAAATAAGTTTGTTGATTTAGGCATTGACAAAGTTTATAAAACATCATTTGCATGAACAGCAGTATTTTTGTAGTGTTTTTAAACAGAAACAACATACTTTAGTTTTTGCCTCACTCGAGTGAGCTGTTAGGTCCTGAGGTTGTTCAATGAGTAATCTACAACAGGTAAGATATTTACTGTTTGTAACTTCTCTTCAAAACCCCACTTACAAAAAGATCTGAACAATTCTTTTAACAAAAGTGGAGTTGCCATTTAAATGTCTGGTCTTGTGATTATTTACCTGAAGAGCAAGCGTTAGGGTGAATAAAACACAGCAGATACTCATCAGGATGTATCCTCCAGAGATGAGCACTTTCCTCCCCAGTCGTTCGACGAGCAAACCCTGAGAGACACACAGCAGGTCACAAGACCAGAAAGATCTTTCATGAGATGCTCTTGGGTGCATTCCTCACTATTTGCCATGCTTGGTTTCTTGTAATCCTTCACAGAATTATCTAACCCCTTCACAGAGTTTTATTCTTCAGTGGTTCAGTTTATAGTGGCACACTTGTTGTAAGTCACATGCAGTGTCATTATTCCACTGTTTGCTGTGGCAGCAGAGGCCATGATAAAAATAATTTATACTTACACATGTTAAAGCAGTGATGCATTCACAGGCACCTGTTCCAACAGTAGCATATGGTATTTTATCAACAGGAATACCAGACTGTTGAAATACATAATGTGTGTAGAAGTACATCTAGTGAATAAAAAGAAGAAAAAAAATTAAACCAGAAGCAACTCTATTTTTTTATGTTTCTTTTGCTTTTATGTCAAGTCACTGAAGTGCTCATGGGGAGTGAGATCCTGCATACAGCATTGACGCCATTCAGCTGTTGCGCAGCGTTGAGCAGAATGATGGTGAGAAGCTGCCAGCGTACGCTGCGATCAGCAAAAAGCTCCCAGGGTTTCTTGGCTTTGAAACCAACTAAATTATTCTTCTCTCTCTTGATGTCCTGCAGTGCACCATCAGAGTCCGCCACACCGTGCAGCTGAATCAGAGCTGCAGACAGTAAAACAAGTCATTTTCATACAAGCTTTGACTCCACTGATCAAACTATTACATTCTAAGTCCTTTTAGAACAAAACACTTTGGTTTTCAGCAGTATACCACTTTTTTCCCCTCCACATCATTGTGCAATAATCAGATGGAGGTCACACAGTATGCTTGGGGTGAGAGTTTCTGAGAAGTTTTAAACCTTTTGAACTGCACCATCACATGCAGTAAATCGTTTTTCAACACGTAAATTTCCTCTGAATTTGTAGTGGAAGTAGTGAAGCAGCACAGGCATAGACGTCATTTTACCCTTTCTACATCCCTCCTCATCTCCTTTATCAATCAGGAGGTATCGTGGGCTCTCTGGGAACCAGGGAAGGAACAGGAGCTGCAGAAATGCTGGAATGCATGTTGTGGAGAGAAGGAAAGGCCAGTACTCCTCTATACCCATGATTTCTCTGTATAGTCACACAAACATGTGTGATTAGCATTCATGCTATACAACTATATAATATCAGTGTGATTTAATGTAAGAATTGTGTTTACTTCAGGCCCATCACTTGTCCAGAAAAGATCCCAACAGTGAGAAAAATGGAGGTTCCCATCCCCATGGCACCTCGTAAAGCAGTTGGAGCGATTTCCCCCAAGTACATAGGTTCAACACACAGAGCAATGCCTGCAAAAACAAGCAAGAGGACATTTTCAGACATCCGACAAGCAGGCAATCAAGGTCAAGGTTTCTTTATTGTCATTCACATCACATGTGGTACATGTGGTGAAATTCTGTACACAGGGTCCCAGTTACATCTAACAAAAGTATAAAATGTGAAAGAAAAACAGTAATAAGATCTAAGATATGAACTAAGAAATACATAAAAACTAAAAATACGCTAAGCACTAGTAGCACAATAACAATACACCGAACAGCAGCACGAACATGAGTCTGTGTGAGCAGATGCGTACGACTGAACACAGCAGTATAAAACAAATCAGCAGCATGAGATCAGCAGTAATCAGCAGCACATTTCAACAATCAAGTGACACTGCAGTGATCCCTTCACAGTGATAATCCTGACTAGAGATTCACGAGTTCAACAACCTCAGGGGCAGCTGTGGCCGAGTGGTTAGAGCAGTCATCCTACAATGCAAGTGTTGGGGGTTCAATTCCACCAGCAGTTACATGTTGAAGTGTCCCTGGGCAAGACAATGAACCCCTCATTGCCTCCGATGTGTTTCCCATCGGTGAATTAATGTGATAAAGCTCTGATTATACTTTGTAGAGATCTAGTAGAGTGCTGTATGAATGAGTAAATGAGGGCACGGATTGTGTTGTAAAGCGCTTTGAGTATTTTGATAAGATAGAAAGACTCTATATAAGTACAGTACAGTCCATTTACCATTTACCTCAGGGCAGAAGCTGTTCCTCAGTCCAGTTGTTTGGACAAAAAAATAAATAAATAAAATGCTCAGTGATTTAAGACTATTTCATTTAGCAAGCAACAAGTCACCGCAAAAAGATTGACAAAATATATTTGATCAAAAACAATTCAGCTTTACCTGTAGAAATTCTACTGAATTTCAACATTGCTGCTGTTGTTATTTCTTAGTGCTTTTACCATGTCGATGACTCAGGTTTACTTTTTTAACCTATTAGTTTTTAGCCATCCATTGTCTTTATATGCTGCTTCCTGTTCATTTTAATGAGCAGTGAGCACCTATCAACTTGTCTTTAGTAGTCAAGCGCTCTTGTAGCCTAAGTAATTGTTAGAGCTGCTCATTCATGACTACTTTCACATGTTTGGTCCATGGCAGAAAAACCAAAATACCCCGAAAAAAAATCCCACACATGCACGAGGGGAACATGAAAACTCACCGCAGAAAGTCTCCAGCCATGGAGCTGAACCTGTGACTTTGCTGCTGCAAGGCAGCAGTGTTAACTAATATGTCATTAGTGTGTCATATGCCTTTACTATCACCTGCCGCCACAAGGCAAAAAGTTTGCAATAATGGTGTCTCTGTGTGTGCAACCAAATGTAAGATGGCCACCACACAAATTCTACAGATATTGATCTTCAAATTGATCTTGTAGTAGTTGAGAGTTATGTCCAACACTAATTTTGAGAGCTAGCACATAAACCAAAGTACCTGCATTTATCCCAGAGAGAAGACGGCCAATGATGAGCAGCTCAAAGGATCCAGCAGCGGCGCTCAGACCCATTAGCAGAGCAGCCGCTAATGAGAATGTGTTATTGGTCAGCAGTGTTCCTCTCCTGAAATATATCAAATGTCAAAATCTTCAACATAAACTATTTTACTTAGTCTACCGTTTAATTTCTCTGTACCTCCCCAGCTTCACAGATAAAGTACTGCCAATCAATACTCCTACAAATCCTCCTAAAGTGAATATGGACACTACAGTGGACCAGAGTAGAATGAGACCATTTTCTGATATGCTGGTTTGGTAACGCTCCATCCAGGTGGCGTTGATGAAATCTTGCACATACTAGGAAGACACACACAAAAAAATTGGACTTAAAAACAAAAACATCCGCATCAGTGATGGACAACATTGTGGTTGGGTGGCAGCATGAGATTACAAATACTGGACATGGTGTCACAGTTTTCCTGTTTTCTTACATTAACTAAGTCTCATTGTGGAGTTAAGCATTAACAATTTGCTCCATCAGTGGTTACGGTGTTACAATAAACTATCAACAAACATACAAATAACCTAGACCACTAAACTGTAAATCCAGATTTTATTCTCATTTCAAATTCATCATACACCAAAGTTAGTCATGGAGTTCCTCAAGGCTCAGTGCTTGGACCGATACTCTTTACCTTATATATGCTTCCATTAGGTAATGTTAAACAGCATGGGATACATTTTCATTGATATGCTGATGATACACAGTTATATTTGTCCATTAAACCCCATGAATCCAATCAGATACTTAGACTACAAGCATGTCTTAAAGACATAAAAACATGGATGACCCTAAATTTTCTACTTTTGAACACAGACAAGACTGAGGTTTTAGTTTTTGGACCTGAGCACCTTAGGAATATATTTTTCAGTCTTTCTCCCTCCTTGGATGGCATTAATCTGGCCTCCAGTTCTAATGTTAAAAATCCTGGTGTTATTTTTGATAAGGACATGTCTTTTATACCCCACATTAAAAATGTTACTAGAACCGCCTTCTTCCACCTGTGTAATATCACTAAAATTAGAAATATCTTATCTAAAGATGATGCAGAAAAACTGGTTCATGCATTTGTCACTTCTAGACTGGACTATTTCAGTGGTTTATTATCTGGGTGTCCAAATACTTCTTTAAAAAGTCTTCAGTTAATCCAAAATGCTGCTACCAGCTTCTTAACTGGAGTTAGTAGGAGAGATCATATCTCTCCAGTTTTAGCTTCTCTCCACTGGCTCCCTGTCAAATCCAGAATTGAATTCAAAATCTTAATTCTAACCTACAAAGCTCTCAACAACCTAGCTCCATCTTATATTCAAGATCTTACTGTTCCATATTTTCCTAACAGAGCACTTTGCTCTCAGACTGCAGGCTTACTCGTGGTTCCTAGAGTTTCCAAAAGCAGAATGGGAGGAAGATCTTTCAGTTATCAGGCTCCTCTCTTGTGGAACCAACTTCCAGTTTCTGTCCGTGAGGCTGACACATTGTCCAGTTTTAAGACTGGGCTGAAGACTTTCTTTTTTGATAAATCCTATAATTAGGGTCGACTTGTCATGCTGCCTTAAGCTTAGACTACTAGAGGAAAAATTTACCTAATTTCCTTAAATGAATTGTTAAAATTTAATAGTTTTCATTTGATACTATTTCTATCTTAACATGTAATTCTTGACCTGCCATTGTGTATCTGTTCCTCTCAAATCCAGCTGGATGAAGCAGATGGCCGCTTGTTCTGAGCCTGGTTCGGTTAAAGGTTTCTTCCACATGAGGGAGTTTTTCCTTTCCACTGTCGCCTTCATGCTTGCTCAAGATGAGAGTTCTGCGATGGAGTAAAATTCAAAGCAGTCTGCTCCTCAGATAAATAATGTTAAATTATTATTTTATATATGAACATTTCTGTTCAGTGCCCTGAGATGAGTTCTGTTGTGACAGCGCTACATAAATAAACTGAATTGAATTGAAAGCAAAACTATGATAAGATAAGATAAGAATTCTCCTCCTTCCAGTCTGACTCATAAACGCAGCTTTAATGCACACAAAAAAAAAAACATCTCACAGGGTGCAAACATTTCTAGTTGTTTGAGCTGCAAGCACAAAATCTATTTTAAACTCCATCCATCCATGATCTTTACTCGCTTATGCTTTTTGGGTTACGGGGGTCACTGGTGCCCATGTCCAGCAGTCACTGTGTGAGAGGCAGGGGACACCTTGGACAGGTCTCCAATCCATCACAGGGACACATAGAGACAAATGAGACAAACAACCATTCACTCTCTCACTCACACCTAGGGACAATTTAGAGTTACCAATCAGCCTAACATGCATGTTTTTGGTCTGTGGGAGGAAACTGGAGTACCCGGAGAAAATCCACGCATGCACGGAGAGAACATGCAAACTCCACCCAGAAGGTTCCCGGGCCAAGATTTGAACCGGCGACCTTCTCGCTGAGAGGCGGCTGCTTTACCAACTGTGCTACCGTGCCGCTCTAACTCACAGATGATAAATATTTATTTCATTCAGATGAACTATAACTTCCACTGCAACTTTTGACTTCACAATTCCATTCCCTTTCTCCAAAAAAACCCAGACCTTTTTCTAAATTGTGATTTGTTTATGTTTTTTATGAAAATGAAGCATTTGTTGTAACATGTCCAAAAAATACAGCTGAGTTATGATGTCTGGATAAGGCTCAGGAAGACCTACAACTATGTGTCTGTTGGTAGGTTGGCTGTTCAATCCCACAATGGATAAACTGAGTAAAAGCGCTGTCACTAGATAGGAGCTAAATAAATGCATGTTGCTTAGCAGGAAACTTAAAGATGCGTCAACACAGAGTAAACATCTTTGTAGCTGCTGTAAATTAAAGTGAGAATGGTGCTCGTTAGAAGGCCTTGAATATAAGCTGTTTGAGTTCAAGCATGCTCAGGTCATTAATTACAAAGATGGGACACTTATGGACAAATAACACTAAATTATTAACCACTGGCTTTATAAATGTCCCTCCCCACTTTTCAGATACATATAGGCTTAAAGTTAACTTTCTCCAGTTTTAAAATAATTTCAGTGAAACTTTTCTACCTTTGTGGGCGCATTGATGACAGATATGTTATATCCACACTGAAAAGTCCCTCCTATACATGTAGAAAACATGGCCAGGAGAAGCAGTTTGCTTGGAAACTGCCAAAAAACAGAAAACACACCGTCAGGGTCAAAGATCAGCTCCTGGATGACAAAGTTGTTCAATAAGGGCACTTACCTTTGAGCTCTTTAGGTCTTTGGCTCCTTTGATGAGCAGAGGCTCGTATTCATCCACATAATCTTTTGGCATTTCCTTGCTGCTGTTTTTAGTTGGAGTTAATTTAACAGACGAAGGCAGCTCAGGCTCTGACAGAGACCTGAGATGGAAGGAGAGGCTTAAGCTGCACACGATACAATTGATCTGTTGTAAAGTAGTCGCCTCGAGACTGAAATAATCAGCCTTTTTATTTTGAGGTTGAAGTGGAAAAGCAGCCGGGTACATTCAGCTCTTTTCACTACACAGAAACAGAAGAAGAAAACCTTGAAACTTCAGACAGCAAAGGCTTTTATTTATTACTTAATTTAATTATTTTGCTTACATACATGAAAGTAATAATTAAAAAATAGGGTACATGACTACATCAGAACTTTTATTTCACTTATTTAAAACAAGGATTCAGAGTTATATTTATTTAGATGAAAATTCATTCATTTATTTATTGTAGCTCAATGTTGCTTGAGACTGTAATCATCTGTGTCTGTCTGTCATAAAGCAAAATATCTCATGGACCACTGGATTTAGATCATGGGAAGTAAGGGTGCAGAGGGTACTGCAGCACTCCATGATGGATAAAGATGAACATGAAATAGGTTAAAGAAAATGGTTTCAGTTGTACTAAATATGTTTATATTGTAGTAAAATTTTGACAATATACTGTATTTAGCTTTGAAAATTTGATATGGAAACCAGCACCATGACTTATGACACGGTGTCTTCACATACATTTTTTTTATTTTTCTTTGGGCAGAAGTGACTTTATGTTAATCTTCAGCTGACTAATAACATTTATTTGATTGATAATTGATAAATATGGTTCTGTTAAACCATTTGATCACTGCAGTGAAACTTCTGAACGTTCTCAAATGTTATCAGTGTTTCTTTAGTAGAGATGATGGGAGTGCTGAACTAGTTCTTTTGTACAATCAGGGAGTACGTAGGACTGACAGGACTTCCTGGGTTGGTGTCAACAGAACCACCTCTAGATCAATGTGGGAAAAACTGAGGAACTGGTGGTGGATTTCCACACACTGACACACTCTCCAACACCACAGCTTTGACTTCAAAAAACACAGAAGTGGCTGTAACTCTGGAGATTTTAGAGGTATTGCGCTAAATACTCTAGAATTGCACCACACAAGTTGGCTGCATGTTGGACTACCTCTCTTATTCATTCTGAGATTTTTCTTTTGAAAACTTTTAATCCTCTTTTTTCTGGAGGTAAATGTTTTTTTTCTGATGATTATTTCCTCTGGTGTCAGATGCTGTACCGCTTGAAGGATTTTTACTGTAAACTTTTTTACTTTGACATTTGTTATGATGTGTAATCATGAAAACAAGGTGGTTTTCAACAACCGAGAGAAACTGATTAACATCTCAAATGCTCAAAAAATACCCAAATTACAACCCCAAATCTCAAATGAGTTGAAAAGGAGGCACCGTGGATGCATTCATGTCAAACTGGAGGAGGTGCAGGAGTGCCTGACTGCCAAGATCTTGGAGGTAGCAAGAAATGTGTCTCATGACAGCGGGAGGGCAGAAATCATATACCTGCAGTTAAGTCCGTGGTGATGAGGGGCTCAGCAGGCTGCTGGGAGAAATGGCCATGGCTTGGGGAGGAGTTCTGCCTGGCATTGAGGCAGTCCTGCTGCCGAAGAAGACCAAGAGGTCTGTTGGGTCTGGGTGGATGGATCGGCATCTGCAGCCAGTTTCTTCAGATCTGCTGGGAGATGGACTGCTACACAGTCATCAGCATCTAACAACTCTAATGAAACCAGGATGATGAGCTACAACAACAATTAATTTCCCTTTGGAAATAATAAAGTATTATTGAATTGAATTGAAAAATGGTGTGGTAGCAGCTGACAGTCATTCCTAACACATTTCAAACACCAACAGATTGTGAAGGATTTAACAATATTGCATTGGATCACACATAACAGTATTTTCAAGATTTGACCAGAAAGGCCAAAACAATTATGTTTTTAAGGATAAAATTAAATTAAAAATCTGGCATGGAAGGCATTAGATGATATTAATTCCTTTAAAAAAAATCCCAAACCTTTTCTTTCTTTATTCACTTCGGCCTAACTCACATATATTCCCATGTCCAAGATGCAACGATGTGTGATAGTTCTCTCTGTATGTTACAAACTATAAGAGACTGAAAATGTTTTGAAATCTTCCACATCTTTGTTACGACTCTTTTAACTATTGCTTCAAGCTTCATTGGAAAGGTTTATCCTTTTGTGTTTTATATTCACTGTTGTCTATCTTAGATGTTATCATTGTTTTTCTTTTACATTTTATTGTTGGATGTAACTGGGACCCTGTGTACATAATTTCGCTCCACCACATGTACCACATGAGGTGCGAATGTCAATAAAGAATCTCTGACTCTGACTTGTTGTTTTTTTGCATTTGCATCAAACAAAGAATGACAGAAAAAGTTTAATCTCTTATGATACTCATAAAAAGATTAATTGTGTCATTATGAGGGTTGACCAGAATAAATATTTACAACTTGCAGGCAAATCTGGCAAATTGTCTTCAGCATACAATATGATGCAGCTATGACGACCACACAAAATAATTTTAAAATCAATTTAAAAAAATGTGATAAAAACCAGGATAATCACAAAGATACCAAGAGACAGAAAAGCAAATGAGAAAAAGAGACAACTTTAGAGATGGAGATAATTAACATGACAAAGTCCAACCTGATCCCCAAACCCTTCAACCAGACTCAGATCCATCCACAAAGACCCTTTAACAAACCCGCAGACCCTGAGGGCTGGTTCCTGATGTCCACATCATTTCAGGTTTAAGGTGACTTTATTGTCATTCGCATCTCATGTGGTACATGAGATGTGAATGAAATTATGTACTCAAGATCCCAGTTACACCCAAAAATAGCAATAATATAAACTATTAAAAAAGAAAACAGTTTTCAAGGATCTAAGATATATGCTAAACAATAATAAAATAATATAATAAGGTATATTAATAATGTATTACCATCTGCTCAGAGCTGATTTAGGGGAACTTAAATATGTGGTCATAATGTTATGAATGACTGGGTTCTCTTCTTGATAAAGTTTGAACTTGATTTCTTGAATTGGATTATATTTATTATAGTACTGTAACTTTCACAAAGGAGCAAAACTCATGTTGTAAATTCTTATTGAAGGGACAAAATGTGCAGGGGAAAACCTTATTGATGACGGGTCACCAAAAAAGGGAACATTTATTTGTTACCTGTAAAAATAAAAGCGTAAGGTTGAGTAAGCAATCATGTCAGGGTGTAAAGGAACAAAGTTGCTCAGAAAAATACAAACTTTCTTTAAATTATACACATATGAATGGGTAAATGAGGGCACAGATTGTAAAGCGCTAAAGGTACTATATAAGTACAGTACATTTACCCTTTTAATTATAGAAAAGAAAAACACAAGCTCAAACATATTATAAAGAAACACAATTATCTAACGTGAAGGCAAAAAAGTCCAGCAGAACAAAAAAATGGTCAAGAAAAGGGCAAGTTTAAAATTTGTGTCTTTTTAATGAAAGTCATGGAAGTAAAACATAGAGATAAGTTATAAGAGTTTAAATTATAATCATTAGTATTTGTGTGTTAAAAGAAGAGATTTGTGTACTCAAGGCATAGATAATTAAAATAAATAATAATAATTCCAGTAAATACAAAAGTATCAGTAACATCAGTAACAAAAAATAAAGTATTAGTAACAAAAAAAGGAATGTTAAGGATTTTATTGCAGGGTCTGAAGTTTCTCCTGCAGAAACTCAGAGATGATCAAAACCTTCATAAACCTGAACAATCTATCTGGACTGTCTAAAGGCTGTAAAAGTTGTTACATGCTTACTCGCTGAAGAGTCCAAAACTTTATTTTCAATTTTAAGTTTTAACTGTAACATATTTCACTTTCAAGCACCATTATTTGGAATCTACCGCTGCATCTTAACCTGCTTTAATTATTTTTTAAATAAAAAATAAAATGAATCTTGTAGCAAACTACAAAGTAGATGAGCCTTTTTTTATATAACTTAAATGTCAAATAGCATTTCAGTTTGTACTTTATCTTGACCTGGGAAGAAAAACAACAATAAAAAAAGAGGCTTTATTCGAACATTTGCACATCACTGTACATATAACAAACTCTAATCTCTTGCCTTGAAGCTGCTGTATATATATATATATATATATATATATATATATATATATATATATAT